AGACTTTCAATATCGATCCCATACACTACCAGGTGTGTATCCTCGCTTCTAGCATGACTCCTCGCTCACCCTTTCGCTGCACTCCAGCTCCTCGTCATCGCCGCTCACTCGCCGCCGCCACCATCAACCTCAACTACACCTTCCACCGCCCTCGGAACGTCCCGTTTCGATTCCTCCGACCATTTTCAAGTGCTCCACGCTGCCGCCATTCTCAAAATCGCTTCAACGTCGGCGCTGGAGCCACCAACATCTTACATACCCTATGGTGTGTGATCCTGCGCGCCGCTTTGTTTCTAGCTAACACTCTCAATAGCCGATTCATTGGTTCAAAATTGAAGCCCCGCATCCAAATTTGAGGGCCAGAATCGAGTCTGGGTTCGAATTTTGAAAGTCAACGGTGCAATTTTAACAAAGTGCGCATACTTCCGTTCGAATCCTTCATTTCTGCTGACTCGGCTCCCTTAGATCCTACCACCCGCGTTCAAGAACGCGTTTTCGTGTCCTCAAGACTGCGATGTTCAGCCGTTCGGTTGACTCGTTCCTCTTTGTGCGTTGCACCATCCCATTTTCCTATCAGATTTCTGACTCGCTTCACTCATAGCGTTCGTTTCGCTACCCCAGCCCGCGAATCGCTTTCAAACGGTACTTCAAAACGTTGGGTGGTTGGATTATTGACTTATCATCTCAACTGGTACGTCTCGTTCCCTCATTTCTTACTTCTTGATTACAGCTTCACTGACTTGGTTCACTAGGTCTTGACGTCGTTTGCTCTCGCCTTTCGCGTCCATTCAATTCAAACCATTCAAATGAACGCTGCGATGGTTCAATTTTGCAGGATACCGGATGGAATTATGGTCGCATAATCCAGGTGCGTCGAATTCAGTAACGGCTCAAGGATTATTGACTGACCTTGATTATTGCAACTAGGTCGACATCTATTGGCAGCGCCTGCCCATTGACCGTTGGATTATGATTGCGCACCGGAACTCGGTGCGTCTCCTTCATTTTTTCGAGCTTCAGTTACAGTTGAACTGACCTTTTTGACTAGGTCCTGACTGCGTTGGCTCGCGCCGGAGCGAGCTTCATTCAAGACCGGCGTTGTTATTCAAGACTGCTTTGAAGGAGGGTTAGATTTCGTTGTGGGATGGTGGTATGGTTATAATCCAGGTGCGTTCATTACACTCTCGTTTCGATTACTATTGACTGACTACCTGTATTGTAATGCTAGCTCGGAGTTATTACTCTTGTCCGCGTCGTTACTGAGTTGGAACACCGAGACTATGTTTGGATGTCGGCTTCAGGTATGTGTTCGTTTCATCGTACTGACTTTCGCTGACCCTCAGTTACCTTACCAGGTTGAATAGATGGCCGAGTTCAATGCCTGGTAAGTCATAATTATTTCTGTATGCTTCGCATACTGACTGATTCGCTCACCTTTAGTTCACTTTTAGTTCAACCTTGACCAGTAACTCGGTCTTGTACTCGCAACGAAGGTATGTTACTTCTCTTCCTTCACTAACCTTCATACCTATTCTAACTTTAATCCTTCTTTCGTAGGTCCTCCTCGTCACCCGTTGGTTGAAAGTTGTTGAAGTAGGACACCAGGATATTATGATTACGATCCAGGTCAGTTCACTGCAGTCTTGATTTGATGATTATTAACTGACCTTAATTCCTTGCTAGAGGGACTAATATTTATTGCCTCAGAACGCGGCCACATAGGTATGCATGCCTGCTTTCAATTATCCTTTCGTCTTTCACTGACTCAATCTATTTTATATAGACTTACTTCCATGCCCCGAAGGAAGGTCGACGTTCGACCTTGGTTCAATTCGGTGCCAGGTACGTCGCATGCAGTTGATATCCTCTCAAGTACTGACTCGTTACTGCAGCTGCATATGAACTACGATACAATATTCGGTACGTTTCCCCAGTCTCAACTTCAACTCTATTCTATTCCAACTGACTTACCTTCGCGTTAAGACTGGTTTGGTTCGGGATGTCGGGTGGTTGAGCGACGGGACGGAGTGCGGTCGGTTCGGAACGTTGTCTGATTGACCTCGGACCGCCGCCGCCGCCGCTCTAGGTGGATCTTGAGCCCGAACGCCGAGAGCGTGCTCCAATCATCCTAGGTGCGTTGATTTACTATCAGCCTTGACTTAATTATCAACTGAATGACTTGACTTTGTGTTGAGTAGGTCGTACACATACTTCGGTAAGTCACCGTTGTATTATAAGTATGAGTCCTTCAAGTATTAATTCACGTTCATTAGGTTGAACAACGTACTTACCTCCAACAACTCGGTTGTACATATGCTGGTCGTTACAAGTCCCTCGAGTTCAACTTAGCAAGGTATGATCATTCTTCAACATACATTCAAATTATCTATCAACTCGATCCTCTGATCCTTAGGTCGAGATCCTGCTTCAAGCGGATCGGGACTGCGTTTCGCAGTATTGGAGGTACCGGGGACCGCAGGTATGTCTAAGTATATTTCGATTTCTGTGATGTTTCAAGACTGACTTGTCTCTGAATAGCCGCCGTCGATGTGCTTCAAGTACACATGTATTCCTTCAACTCGGACTCGGAGTCCATCTGCGGCCGGGGTACGTCAGCGTTGAACCAAGTATACTCAATCTATCAATATTGACTAACCTTATCTTCACTTGACTTCAGTTCATCGCCGGTACATGATAAGTATGCAGCAAGAGTATATACCCCGAATAAATTAATATTTGGATGTAAGTAAGCCATCCTTATCTTCGACTCGGTACTCTATCCAGTCCGTATTAACCCGACTCCAGTCCGCACATTTTCCGCCCGCTATCCACGCATTCAACCGGCGCACCAAGTTGGAATAACTTGACCAGATTAACTTGAACAGGTATGGCGTGCAGGCTCTATTCCGTCCCGATTCGTATTAATATCTGTTCAGGTTTCATTCGAATCAATTGTCTCCAGTTACCTTGCCCCGAGAGTCTCGAACCGCCCGGTTCTGCAGACCAACATACCACACCGTTCGCAATCTCTCTCTCTCTCTTTCGCACAATCCATCCAACTAACTAACTTCTTTCTTCCAAACAGATCTCTCTCAAAACCGAATCGACACTGTTCCCTCCCTGCTTACACGCTCGCGGCCTGCGGACTGCGCCCGACGTAAGTATTGAACCTCCCTCATTACCGCGCTTTTCCCACCGCTGACTATATGTATCTCTCCCGTAATCAGACTCAATTTATTTCTCCCGCAGACCAGACTCGACTCGAGGACTGCGCTCGCCTCGAGTCCACAGCTTAGGGCAATTAGGATGGACGCTCCATCTCCTTGCTGTAAACTCGGCGCTCAGCACCCAGGTACATTCAATTCGCACACTTGATTCCATTCACGCGCTAACTTGAGTCTATTCACAGGCTAACGAAATTACAGCTTACGCGCTATCCGTACCTAGCTTGATATACACCCGCCGACTCGCGCCGACTGTGCGCCATTCCCGCCTCGATTGCGCCAGAATCGTATCCGCGGGGCAGAACGACCCGACTCGGCGTGCACGCCTGCCGCGGACTCGATTCTGCGCGGTCGCTCGGTGTCGTTCCTGCCAAAGCGACGTCCAAGGACTCGGTGCGATTCCTGCCGAGTCTGCGCGCGAATGGAACGCAGCGCGGGAGAGTGCACGGGGCGCGGCATTCGCGGACGCAGATGCGTGCAAGCGACCTGCGGGGTCGGTGTACCAGTCGTTCGTCCGGAGCACACAGAGACGGATGAAAAGAGGAAGATGAGGTGAGTAAAGTCGCATTTTTTGGGTAGAATTGAGTACTCACCTTGCAATACAGACGGCGGCGTTGTTCCTCGCAGCGGGCAAGCTGCGCGTTGGCTGGAGTACGGACGGCGGGGGGTTGCGGAGGTGCGGCGGGTTGCGGATTGAGGTGCGGCGGGGCGGGCACGATGCGGGGCTGGCAGCGAACGCGGCCGGACGCACTCGTGCAGCACAGCGGAGGCGCCGGCGGTTCGCGCCCCCGGGAGCGGACATCAAGTGGGTGTCAATGTCGCTGTGGATTCGCGATTGCGGGCACCCGTGGGAGTCGTATGCTGCGGGGACGAACGAGTCAGTACCGGGAGTATGAGATGAGGGCGGGCAGGTACCGTTTGCGGACGTTAGTAATACTTACATACAACTACTGAGTGAGTGGGTGAGTGAGTGGTGAGGAAGTGAAAGCGGGGGGCACGTACGGGTACAAGGAGCATGAGGCGAGTCGCAGCTCGCATGGAGGGAGAGCGGGGCACGTCAGCGGTGCAGCTGGGAGTCGCGAGACGTAAGCAAGGGAAGGAAGTGAATGCAAAGAGAAGACACGTACCAGAATGACGACGCCAGGGAGGTTGACGTCAGTAGCGAGTGCCGCGGAGGGCGGACCCTGCCTGCGTTGTTGAGCAGGACACCGACCTGGTGTCGAGTTAGGATAGAGCGGGGCAAGAGGGAGACACACAACTCCCTCAACTCCCCCTCCTTCGCATGCACATCCGCAATAGCAATCTTCATGCCCAGGGCCGCAAACGCGCGGGCAGCAGCAGCGCCGATGCCAGACGCAGCGCCGGTGACGACGGCGACGCGGCCCGCGTGGAGGACGGGGTGCTGCTCGCCGGTGGGGTGGAGGGCGTTGGCGGGGGAGAAGGAGGCGGAGCCGCTGAGGGCCGCGGGCCGTTTCGGGGAGGGGCCGCGCGAGCGGAGGGCGGGCGAGGTGAGAGGTTGCATGCTGAGTGGCTTCTAGTAGATTTCTTGCAGTCTTGTAGTCGGTGGTAGGAAGAGGTTCACGAATGACGTCATACCACGTGGGAATCGTCTCTTTCGCCACCGTCCAACCAACGTTCAACCTGACAGAACGTGTCAGCGTCGGTGCCGGTGAGCGCTCTTTCCCTTTTACCTCCCTCTATTCGTTGAGCGCCCATACGACGAGACTGGTTGGAAAGCGCCGGAAGAGTAGAAAAAAATGAATCGAAACGGGTCGAGTCAGATACCGGGAGTCGAACCTGGGACGGCCTCGACAATAGATGAGGCCAGTGTTACCGTTACACCATATCTGAGACTGTGTGAAGGAGTGTTATGCGGAAGTTATAGGTTGATTATCAGATGTAGGTGTGAAGGATGTTGTGATTCCAGTGCTTTCCATCCATAGACCAGCAGCGATGGGCGGGAATAAGCCATGTATGTTTGTTTAGCTGACGTTCACGTTTCGGGATAGTATGCATGATCAGATGCACAAACACAAACGAGGTCGTGTCGGCCATCTCGGGGATGTTCGATTCTGGATAGAGTTGTTACTAATATACTAATAGTAAGGTTATGAGTCTTAAGGTAAGTACTGTTAACGGCGAGGTGTGGTGTTGTTACAGTTGTCCTCCTTGCTGCAGGACGTCTCGGGCGGTGGGCTCGGATTGATAGTAGAAGATTTTGAGAGTTGAATTAAAGGAAGTCATTCAGCTGCCTTACCGAGCCTCTCGAGCCAAAAAGCTGTGGGCCAAAAATCGCAATAACGACGTAGTCAGACACCTGGAGTCGAACCCAGGACGGCCCTTGTAGAAACAGGGGGCAATGTTACCGTTACACCATATCTGATGTGCTAGGAGCAATTATTTGAATTGCTGGGGGTGATTTATAAATAGACATAACTGTGCGTTTTTATATATTTTGTCCTTTCCTGTGAGTTCATTCAGACTCAAATTCAGACGTGACTCGACTCGGCTCCCGACTCCCACCCCAAATTTTGAACCCGACGCACAATTAACACACATCACCGCAAGCAAACACCGTGCTCTATGAGTAATAAGTATCTGTTCAAGTTGCGGTTGGAAATCTCTACCAGCCGCAACACACTGTTGGGCAAACGCTGAGCTCACGGAATCGCTCTGCAAACCGACCTCACAGGCGAAACGAGCTCACGTAGGGAATATCAACAACTCTGCAAACCACAGCTTCGCTTCGAGCGCGTACCGTTCCATCGGGGATGGGTTGATGCTTCCTCGGTCTTTACGCCAGGGTCGCAAATCCGTGAACTCGAGCTCGTTAGTTACCTCCGCAGGGCAGGCGGGCGCAAAGCTCTCTCACAGGTGTCCAGGACGATCATCGACTCTAGATCTGGACCCATCCAAAAAGCCAAAAACCAACATTCAACATCTCCGAGACGCCCGGCACCCGACGCCCAGTAGGCAACTTACTCGGGTACAATTCGACGGCTGGCTGAAGTTCAACTGGCTCTGAGGAATTCACGCTCAACCTACACCCGGCTCGTTCCGCTTGGGTTTGAGTTCCCCTGGCTAGAACGTTGACCTAATAGTTCTGAATCAATAAGCTGAGCCTAGATCTCACTGCTATGCTATTACAACTCGGAAGTTGGAACCGAGCTTCAATGCATATGAGCTTGCCTGCTGCATACTGCTACAGTACTGCCGACTCCGGTTCAAGTAACGTTCACTTCCATCTGCCCTGTCGTTCGGCCACTTCCATCTGCCCTGCTGTTTGTTCAGAAATTTCATCTGTACTTATCGACTGTTTCTCTTTACATAACAATATCGTGGTGATTCACTAACAGGAGCGCTTCAAAATCCACATATGCATTCCCATTGCCATTCACGCTTCTGAAGTCATTTCGTAATAGCCTCAGTCTCGTCGGGACTGGGGACACTTTTTTCTGCCTTTAAGATACGACACGTTCCTCCGCCTTTACGCCTTGCAGACGTATGGGTCTTTTAAGTTTACGCCTCACAAATCCACGCCTCACCAGCCACTCCATAGACTCGTTCGTTCGTTGCATGAAGAGCGCGCGGGCCCGGGTGATTCTCATTCTTATTCTCATTCTCTCCTTGAATCGAAATTCTCATTCTCTCCTAGTCTTGAACGAATCAAATACCTATCCAGAACGAATCAAATACCCATCCAGAACAAATCAACTACATATCCAGAACAAATCAACTACATATCCAGAACAAATCAACTACATATCCAGAACAAATCAACTACATATCCAGAACGAATTCAGAATATCCAGATCCCGAAGGATTCAGGCGAGTCTACCGGCCCGAATACTAACCTAAGATTCAACATCTCCGAGATGACCGACACCGAAAGTCCAACTGGTAGGGGAAAGATTCGACGACGCCTGGCTCACACATTTAGGATTACTTTGCGCCTCGCCAACGCGTGGGCCCCTTGAATCCACGGCCACGCCTCGCCTTGAATCCATGGCCGACTCGTTCGTTGCACAGGCATGTATGCATATCGTCGGTTGGATGAGCGGATCCAGGTGATTCTCATTCTCATTCCCTCCTTGATTCAAACGAATCCGAATCAAATAAGTATCCAGAACGAATCAAACAAGTAGTATCCAGAACGAATCGAATAACAATAGTGTCGTTCAAAGTTCCCCTACTCGTCTTCCTACTTGCTTTCCTGAACCGAGTAGGAGGACCAGTAGGAAATGCGAGTAGGATCCTTTTTGACAGTAGGAGCATTTAAGCTCCTTTTTGCAAACAGGCTCCTACTCGACCTTCCTACTCATTCTCCTACTTGAAATTTGGCTGTGTTCCGAGGTTTTTCCGAGTAGGAAAATCTTCCTACTCGCTTCCTACTTGCAAAATACCGGAGGTGGGGTTTCAAAGTTGCTCCTGCTTGTTCTCCTGCTGACTTCCCTGAGTGCAATTTTGGCTGGAAAATGCAAGTAGGAAGCAAGTAGGAGACCGAGTAGGAGCCCAAACAGGGCCAACTTTGAACGACACTAATATACAGAACGACAGTCGGACTCTGTCGAAGCGAATATCAATCTGACATTCAAAATAAAATCCAAAATCCGAAATAGCCGACACCGAACGCCCAGTAATAGCCAACTTACTTCGTTGCAATTCGACAGCTGACCGGAATTCCAGTTCCCTTAGTGGAACACACGTACATATACCACTGCTATTGCCTTCCCCGCCAAGTATATTATACTGCCTGGGACCGAGTCGAAGCTCGTGGCTTCACTGCCAATGCTGACTCGAAATCCGACTTCGACTTGAGTGGGCTCGAGAGTCGGAATGCAAGTTCCCCTACATTTATCAGTAGCTGGAATTAATAACATCCCACTGCGCTGGTGGCTGAAATTCCACTACCGCTGGATGCATGTCCTCGGGAAGGGCGCTCACGGCGGAAAGAGCTAGAGGTGTTGATGCTCTGTACATACTGGAAGAACATGGAGTGGTTTTATTTCAGGTAGCGAGCGGCGGCTGGCTGGCTTTTCGACTGCCTTACGGAGGAGCGCTGACGCCTTTTTAGATCCAAAAATTGGGGAGTGGCTGATGTCTTTTTCCAGTTCAATTTACCGAGCGGCTGACCCGACCGCTAGTTCAATTTACAGCGCAGACGACGGCTCCTTGCCAAATTGTACATACACGTCATGCGGCTGTTATTCAAGTTGTTGCCTCATACTACAGTCCCTTCCACACCTAGGCTGTTCTGAACCCGTGAGTTCATTCATTGCACAACAAATAATTGACTATTATAGCATACTTATCCCGTTTCAGATGGATGGCGGCGAGCGGAACGAATTCGAAGTATGCTGCTAATCATAATCCCCAACGTGTAATCCTCAATGCGGCTAATCATAATCCTCTTGCAGCAGCAGATCAAATTGGTGATTCTCATTTTGAACCTGAGCCTGAACAATATCGTTATTCAGCTTGTCGCTGCAAAAGCTAAACTACATCGCTTAACGGAGCAGTGAATCAATCCGCTCCGAAATCGAACATCCCCGAGACCCCCGGGCCCCGATTGATAGACTCGATTGCGAAAAAATGATATCGGACGCTCCAAATCCAATCGGAGGCTCTTTCTTTTCCTCCCATTGACACTTTCTTTCCCTCCCTTTGACAAGGAGGTAAGAACTTGAAAATATCGACTGCCGGGTAGAAGGAATCCAGGGTGAATGGGTATCTAATATCTATTCTTCCGCGCATCAATCACATCAGCGCCAGTGTTGTCTTTGACGGGGTTTATGCCGGGTTTTGAGGGTTTATGGACGATCGTCTTGACTTTTCATTGACTTTTGTTGACGAGTCAAAGCCACGGGCCGTCAGTTCGCTGCAGTCAAGCGGGCGATTCCGGAAAGCCACTCAAAACTTTTGGAAATTCCTGAAAAGTTTTTTGTGCACGACGGACATCAGCAATAATAACCCGTCAATGACGGCGTCAAGCTTAAGTGCTTGACTGGTCAGGAGTCTTGACCTTTTCTTGACCCTCTTGTCTTAACCCCGACAACACTGATCAGCGCTACTGTACTACTGTACTATTTCAACCAAGTGTTCATGGGGTGTGACCTGTGACCTCAAGTGTTTAAAATCCAAGTGTTCAAATCTCCTTTTTGGGTGATATTCCGGCGCAGCCGGAGCGAAAAATTCCCTTTTTGAGACGGGAAAGCCCAAAAACCTCGATCCAGAATGGCCAAAACCTGTGACATTTTTAAAAAGTGTTCAATTTGGGCCTGGTTGTGACCAGTGACTGAACACTTGGTTGAAATAGTACAGTATTTCAATCAGATCGACACAGGGTGTGACACGTGACCACCCGGAACCGATTCGATAATTCGCAACTCTGGATTTTTTGCGTGACCACCCGAAAAATTTCGAAAATTTCAAGTCGAAATTTCGTTTTTTTTTTGGCATTTTCTAGGAGATTTTGGCCTGCATGACACATTTTTTGGTTCGATAAAGCCCTGCGTGACGCGTGACCTCGACCAAATTTCGATATCGACAGGGGGGTGCGTGACGCGTGACTGTCGACCTGATTGAAATAGTACAGTACATCTCAGCTTACCAAACTAGGTCTCAACTTTACCCGGGCGAACGAAGCATGTCAGATATGGTGTAACGGTAACATGGCCTCATCCAATTGTCGAGGCCGTCCCGGGTTCGACTCCCGGTATCTGACTTGAAAGAGTCCATTGCTTTTTGCTTTCCCCCGTTGTTTCTCGCTGTTCTGAATCCACATCTGCCACAATCCGTGGGCTAGGCCACCCGCAGGTGGTCAAATTCATTCAGATCTGAACTCAACGGCAGGTGACCGTCTCCCCTCCCACAGCGGAGAAAAAAAACTCAAATTCATCCTCTGGGCTCAAGGCTCATATGCACTGACCGAATTTAGACACATGCCATCAATTATCACGAACGCATATTATGCATCCTCGAATTGAATCCTCCTAACATCAATGTAAAATCCCCGACAACCCGACACTAAATATTCGACTGAATTGGGTGCAATACAGCCCTGGAATTTCACGCCTCAAATGTGAGTTCAATCCAGGCCTGACAGCAAATCACGCACCCCTGGCTGGAATCCCACCGAGTAACTTGCGTTGCTGCTCGAAATTCGACTTGAGCTTTGGCAGACTCGACTTTCGCATACAACTTCCCATGTACTTGCCAGTGGCCGGAATTGCTTCCACTGCGCTAAACAGGCTGGAATTTCGGTTGCACACACACGGCTGCTGGCTGGACAAGGGAAGTGCTCTTGGCCAACTCTTACTAGGTTTTATTTTAGGCAGCGAGCGGCGGCACCCTGACTGGTGTTTTGACTTCATTGACAGCTGACTGTTGAATTTGCCGAGCGGCTGACTATGGTTCAACTTCCGACACGGTTGACTCTCCTGGTTTTCAATTTGTTGGTGCAAAGAGCCGATACGGACATCAATCCTTACTTACTTATATGCCCTCAGCTGTTGCAATTCGACGTTGAAATTCCCGCGAAAAATTCTACTGTTACAATTGTAGCTGAACTTCCACTGACACGGCCTCGATACCTGTCAGTACTTACTGACTCAAGTTCTGACTTACTGACTAAGATTTCGCCGCCGTTCGATCGAACCTGCGAGATTGACTGCTGCTGCTGCTGCCGACTTGAAGTTGACAAGTTCCACAGCTGGTAATCTAGGACTGGGGACTGATGTAATTACATTGAACGAAGCTCCAGAAATCGGGCTAGTAACTCCAAAACATCAAACCATCTCCTAACTCCTCCTCCTCAAAGAAATTCAGACTCCCTCCCAGCCCAACACAACACAATGCGAAACAGAGATCTGCTCAACGTTCAACGCTTACAAGTCCGAGCCGATTCACTGCTTGGCTTGGGCCTTCCAAAATGGAATTGAACATCCCCGAGATGCCCGATATCCATTGGTTTATGTACACCTCCCTGCATTCTGAATCATCAAATTCAACTTTCAGCCCAGGACCGACTGCCGCATTTTATTCATATCAGTCCTTTGAGATGGGTGCCCACTGCGCAGCCAAACGACTGAGTAATCACATTCAGTTTACCGAACAGATAACCGCCTTGGCATCGATTATCCGTCTTGGCATTCGGATGTGTGTGATGTGTAAGCCTGAGTGTGATGTGTAAGCCAATGGCGAAACATTTGTAAACTGTGAGTCGTTTGAGCGCCTCTTTGACAACTCTCTGACTGATATGTATGTAGAGAGTATAAGAGGGATGCATCCGCCGTAGGTTGAACCCATCTCCTCCAACTCGTCAAAGCAATCCAAATACCTCTCTCGCAATGTCTGGAAAAACTGTTTACCTCGGTGCGTTTGATTGGACTAAGAAAATTGAGCCATACTTACTCTAATTTCATCCGCACAGTCACTGGTGCGAACCGCGGAATCGGCTACGGTCTCGTTGTAGCCCTCGCTGCTCGCGAAAACACCGTCGTCTTCGCCGCAGCGCGTGACCCCACTGCCCAATCGCTCAAAGATCTCTCCGCCAAATATCCGAACGTCCACCCCATCAAGCTCACCTCGGGCGACAAGACCGACAACGAAGCAGCCATCGCCGAGATCAAAAAGACGGCGGGCCAACTCGACGTCATCATCGCGAACGCAGGTGTGCAGCTTTTATGTCGAATCCTGTTTGATCCCGCTCTTATATATTCATTCTCTTATTATTAGGCATCGCTAAATACTACGGCCCTCTCGCCACGACGCCCCTCTCCGAGTTCCGCGAGCACTGGGAGGTAAACACCCTCGGCACCGTCGTCCTCTTCCAAGCCGCGCACACGCTCCTCCTCGCCTCCCCCACCGGCACCCCCATCTTCGCGTACATCTCCTCCGCCGCGGGCTCCATCGGGCAGTACCTCGGCAACCAAAGCTCCTCGTACGGCTCCTCCAAAGCGGCGGCGAACTTCCTCGTGAAGGCCCTCGACGCAGAGAACCCGTCGCTCATCGCGTTCGCGATCTCACCCGGGTGGGTCGCGACGGACATGGGGAACATGGGGGCGGTGGCGAATGGGATGGCCGCGGCACCACATTCGCTCACGGACTCAGTGGAGGGAATCATGTCGCGCATTGATGGGGCGACTGTGGAGAAGACTAGCGGTCGCTTCTGGAATTTCAAAGCCACAAAAGGCGGAATGCCTTGGGACCTGGATGCCGACGAAATTCCTTGGTAGATTATAGATATACAGGTTGCATTGTCGATCTGGATGTATCCTGTATACGGCGAGATCATTATAATTTAGATCACTAGTGGATGAGTTTTGAATGTTCGAAGCGTTTGGGTTGAAGCTCCCATTAAGTGGTTCCGATTCAATGGTTGAATTTAACATTTTTGAAATGTTCACTGCCAATTTCTTTCGGCCTGCGCACTAGCGAGACGGCACTCACGATTGCCACAGTTTTGTCATAAACATGCTTCCCATGCAGCCCTGTCTTCAACTTGCCAGGACTGTTCTGCAACTTCGAATACGTAATAAACCTCGAAAATGTATTTCGGCCCAATGCGAGCTGGTCTTTCGCGCCAACCGAGTGAGCTTTGGGCGCCGAAATTCAATTTGTCTTTGCTCTCCCGCTTGAACTGGGATTTTGAGATTTTAAATGTCCCCATCTATGATTTGTGCAGGAAATTTGGCAGTTGGAAATACCGGGAATGATACCGCGATCAGTACCGGCAACATTTTCGGCACCGATCGGTCAGAGTTTAAATCACTTGTTTCCCTGGCCTCTCGCCTGCCTTAAATTAATCTGTACCCTGCCTTCTTTCTTATGCATTCTAAAGAGCTTATGGATGGTCTGTCTGCTGTGCCCTGCCTGATGAATTTGGCCAATACCATGGCTTGATCAAGAATTTTGGCAAGCGGCTGCTGTAACGCTGTTACATGTAAAACTTTAAACGGGTCAGACCGATAGCAGAACAAAAAATATAGGGACCAGCTAATTACCCGTCAAAACTATGTGGACATTGCACTGGTAGGACTGCACAGATGCCCACCGGCAAATCGTGATGCTTGGCTTGTGCATCTCCCTTATGGACATGCATGTCATTTTGCAGCCTCTATTCTACTGCAATCAGTCAATGCTAAAGCACAGTGTTACTTGATGAGTAAATTACTATGGAAATATGCAATGCAACTGGCTCACAACCGTCTAAACGCTACCGCTCAGGGGGTATTGACCTCAATTTGGAATAGTTGCCCATATCGTGCCGTTGCCGCGGATCACTCCATTCTTTTAAGAAAATACCGCCGATCATACCGCCGGTCCCACCGGCGGGCTCCGAAATCCCCGTTATTTCCAACTCCCAAACGCTCTCGATTTGTGCGTCTGATTCAAGTCTGTACCTTGCCACATTTGAAACATGAACCCGGAAGGTCTCGCGGCGCAATGCGATCTGGTCGACGCTCGACCGAGCGAGCTTCGGGCCACGTAAGGTTCAACATAGCTTTTCTGAGTTCTCCCAATATTTCACAGGTAGCGGGCCTTGCCGCTCGTCGGTTACCTGCCTTTCCATGAGATCGCTGATGCCTGTCGGTAATCTCAGGAAGATTCGCCGTCTTAACACGTAATCTTGCTTAATACACGCTCATCAGAGTTTCTATATAATAGGAAGCGGCCATAACTGCATGTTTGAACTCAAACTTATCCCATCTCTCCCCCTGTTCGTCTCACCATGTCGGGAAAAACAGTTTACCTCAGTGTGTTTAAACTTTCTGGTCTGAGCTGTGCGAAAGCTGAATTCAAGTTGCCTGCAGTCACCGGCGCTAACCGTGGAATCGGGTACGCTCTCGCCTCCGCCGTCGCTACACGTCCCAATGCCATCGTCTTCGCTGGAGCGCGTGATCCCGCCGCACAATCACTCAGGGACCTGGCTGCCAAATATTCAAATGTTCGCCCTGTCAAAGTCACCTCTGCCGACCAGGCAGACAATGAAGCAGCCATCGCTGAGATAGCAAAGACTGCGGGTCAACTCGATGTTATTATTGCGAACGCAGGTGCGCATTCCCTTTCACCTCCTGAATGTTGGCCACGAATATTTACGTAGGCATCGCGAAATACTTTGGCCCGCTTGTTTCAGTTTCTCTTTCATGCACGCGGCTTTCTAAATCCTACTGAGTCTTTTCAACTTTGTTTCTTGAAGCTTTTGCAATCTTGTGTTGAAAGTCCGTCCGCCAGTTGCATTGCTTCCGTTCGATTCGGGGTTGGGCCAATATGCATTCGAGGTGAAACTTTTTCCTCTTCGTTATCTTTGGTGTTCCTTTCCTTCAACTCGCTAACGATCTCCTCTCTGATTCCTATCCCGTGGCGATTTGGCGACTTGTATCGATGGGATTCTGGTCGTGCTTCTTTCCGGACCATTTGCTCTCATCTCGATTCTCAACTTATGTGCTACTCTACCATGTCAGGTATGGTGTAGCGGTAACATAGGCGTCATTGATGCTGTCTCGGGTTCGACTCCCGGTGTCTGACTTGCCGTAGTTTTTGGTCCTTTCCCTGAGTGACTCGAGTCTCGGTTATAATACCGGTGCATGCTGAACTTGGACCCGTCGGCTTGTACTAGACTTTCGTTGGATACTCCCCCACCGCAAGGGAATGATGCATGGTCTGGACTTCTTTCAAAGCACTGTGCCAGCCAGGCGAAGAGAGAGGTCAGTAGTAGAGTGCTGTCTATTTTTGGATCAGGCAGTGATAATCTCCATCTAGCGTTGGCCTACCATGTCAGATATGGTGTAGCGGTAACATGGCCTCCTGTATTACTGAGGCCGTCCTGGGTTCGACTCCCAGTATCTGACTTGCGGTAATTTTTTTGTCCTCCCTCTGACTCCTGAGGAGCACTCGGGTCCGGGCTTCAATCGCGGGCGATCAAATCGAGTGAACGTCTTTAAGAGGATTCACAACCACGTTACCCGACTGACACACTCTCATGGCGACGGCGACTCAAATACCATCTAACGCGTGCGGAACTCTTCAGAAGTCAAATCCACCCGAATCGAACATGCCCGAGATAACCGATGGAGAATAATGTGCGAAAAAAAAAACCTAGCCGCTGAGTATAGACCTCCCACACCTCTTATATGCTGCAAGCCAGACCCAAAATTACTCAGGCCTGGTGGTGTAAAGGACAACATGTCTTTGATTCATATAAACCTCACTGTTGAATAAGAAGAAGCACCCCGTTCGATTCGGGGCCAGGCCACTCAAGTCGAGTTCCTTTTTTCTCTATCGCCTCGACAGAGGCTTCGGAATCCTGAGGAATTTCTGGAATCTGTAATGAAGTTCCGCAATCGTCGTGAGCAAGTCGCGAGTTCAACTTTCAGCATTTTCAACTCCGATACAATACAATCGACAGGTGACGTGTCACTGATGAACCTCTTGACTCCCACCACCACCAATCCTTTTGTTGAACTTGAACAATGGAAGATGACTCCTCACACTATCACCCATCCTCTCGACCGATCTAGAACGCCATATATTCGAGCTCTCCGCTCTCGCGCGCCCAGTCGAGAGTCCGACGCTTATGCGCGTTGCCTGGCGCGTCAATCACTGGTAAGTCTAACTACTCAAAAAAGTGTGGAGCCGTTCATCTTACGCTGTTTTGATTCTAACAGGCTCGAACCTTGACTCTACCGAACACTTGCAGTTGAATCCAGAGAAGACGATGGCCGTCTTGAGTGCGACTTCGAGACATTCCGACGCATCTTGCACACGAAGCCCGCAGCGTTGGCGACGTGCTAAATGGCAACGAAGAGGCAGGCGAAGAAGACGAGGAAGATATCGTGGCCACCTTGACTGGCGTCGAGAAGCTCAACATCATCGCCTTGTGGACAACACACGACGACTCACCCTGCGGATTAGGCGCGCTCCCATCCCTGCGCCAGCTCCATTGCGCTAGCAGCGAGCTCTTTGATCTGTGCTCGCCAGTCTGTCACCGTCGTCCATTTGGCTTCGCTACCCTCACACACCTCGCGCTGAGGGTGGAGACATATGACTACCCCGACACGCAGTACCTTGCGCTAGCGACCCTCCTTCAACTAACCCACCTCGCGTTCCTCACGGCCCGCATCCTCTCCGTCTCTGTGCCTCTACTGAAAACATGCTGCGCGCCCTCGTCATTCGGCGCACTCCGCCAGACGAGTGGGACATCGTGGATAACCTGGCGCAAATTGACGAGTCGGATACGGTGGATGAAGACCCAAAGTTCGTGCTGATGGTCGTTGAGGACTGGGAGAGAAACTGGCGCCAGGGGTCCTTACTGATGAGGACTACTGGATGCGCGGACGAAGTCATAGCCAAGCGGAAAGCGGGGGAAATAGCTCGTACGTCGTTTTATGACACGCTGAGATGATTTGGACATCTCCGAGACGCCCGATCGGTGATCTGTTAGTATACATATCGACCTCGGGAGAGCTTCCGCTCTAAACGTTCACCGTCTCAAGAACTTGCAGCTCAGCCCACCGTCCCAAACACTTGAATCCACCCCTTCGCTTCGATGAAATTCGATCCCTCCGCGATTCCATACCTTGTGGACGTGCCTGCGCCTGCAATGCAGCAGACTCGAATTGGTGCCCGTCAACACCGATTCAACAGCTGACCTGCTCCGTCTTGATGCACCTTGGGCACAAACCCTGTCATCGGCGTGCCAATGCAAGCGTCGAAAGGCCGATCATCGTTAAAAACCGTTTGATATCCTCTCCGCTCACTCCCTCTTGTATCAGTTATCAGCTGTCCTGGACGGCGCCTCGCTTACCGGCCAACCACTGAACCAGTGCGATCTTTTGCATCCCACGGCTCCGTCCCAGGCACATCGATACGCAACCATTTTCGCAACTCTACTATCTGTCCTCTGGTTATGTCCTGGCAAACATATGATCTCTCCGTCTTCTTCCGCATCACGTTTCAACCTCCCCGAAGGAATATTTGATCACAGGACTCGAATGGAGCTTCTTACAGCAGATTTGGAAGCGATATGCATCCGGCAGGATAAACGGCGAAGACGGTTAAATTCTTACGTTGCAGATATTGTGCAGATAGCAGTCTTACTTCCGTTTTGTTTCCGAGCGAAGGCGCGTGTATTTAATGCCAGCGCAACCACAATGGTTTCCTCAACATGGCCATCGATCTTTCTGACGAGTCCCAACGAGCTGGAGCTCTCAAGGTTACGATAGTCGGCGCGGGCATCGCTGGGCTGTCGGCGGCCGTCGCACTGCGAAGAAACGGGCACCGTGTTCAGGTCTGTACAGAAACTTCGTCTGTTTTCTCATAGCGTTGATACTTCTTCCGCCAGATCTTCGAAGCCGCCGAACGTAAGACCGAAATTGGTGCTGCCCTTAGTATGCAGACGAACGCTCTCCGCGTGCTGGACCACTTCGGCGTGTCGCGCGCGAACCTGAAGGGTGTCATATGGACGGGCGTGCGTATGTTGCGGGCACAACCAATTCAAATTTCAACTTGCGTGCTCACCATGCTCATCCGCAGAGTGTGGTGTTCGGCTCGCAAGGTGGGGAAGGCGTGAGCGGCAAGTGGCTGGTACCGTACGCAAATGACAACCCCGTACGTGGCGGACATCGTCAATATTATTTGACTCCGTAATATATATCTCATACCAGACAGGGCTTGCTTGTCCACCGAAGCGATCTCCACGATGAACTGAGGCGCCTAGCGAGTGGCGGCGACGGCGACGGCCCGCCTGCGGAGCTGCGCCTGGGAAACAAGGTCGTGTCTTGCGATACCGAGGAGGGCACAATTACTTTGGACACCGGGGAGGTTGTTCCTGCGGATATTGTTCTGGGTGCGGACGGAATAAATGTGACCCTGCGTTCGAGCTTTTTGAGTATCGGATTGACTGACTTCTTCCTTGCAGTCAGCCGTCCGTACCGATGTTTCAGGCTCCGTCCACACGGCACCTCCTTCGGGCTGGGCATGCTTCCGCGCCGTGTTCAAGGCGCCAAATTTTACGGAGACGCCAGAGCTTGCGTGGCTTAGCGAGGGCGTATCTGGTGTGCGGAGCATTATTGCACGAGATGGCGGCCCGTTCCGGATGCTCTTGATATACCCATTCCGCAACGGCACCCTCATCAATTTCGTGGGCTTCTTCACAGAACCTAATGCTACCGATGTGCCTGGTAAGTGGACATACAGCTGTCGATGCTTCAGCTTTATTCAAATTACGAATATATATAGCTGGAACTCCCACGGCCTCGCGCGAGGACGTCCTCAACACGTTCCAGGACTTCGACCCTAAGTTTCTGGCGCTGTTGGACCTTCCACTGCAGGGTAGCATTCTCAAATGGCAGCTGCGCGCGTTGCCCATCTTGCCCACCTGGGTCCGCGGACGCGCTGTCCTCATAGGTGACGCCGCACACGCGACCATGCCCTTCCTTGGCCAGGGTGCGGGCATGGCAATCGAGGAGGCGGGTTCCATCGGATGCCTGCTTCCCGCTACGACCACCAGGGACGATGTTCCTGCACGACTTGGCGCTTACGAGGAACTCCGGATGCCTCGGGGACAATTCGTGCAAATGGAATCGGTTGCGCAGGTCGCCCAGCTTACCAGTGGCTCTACCGTCACGTTTTACCAATGTGAGTCTTTGACTGACCCGCACTCACTTGATTTCATGTCCCTCGCCAGCGCAAGAAATTCAATCCCTCCTCCTTGAGTACGATGCGATCACAGTCGCCTCCGAGTGGTATGAGGAACGATTCGGTCCTGCATCCTCGAAATAAAGTGCCAAATAAAGTGTAAAATGCAAATAGAACCTAAGCGACATTTAGATTTTCTCTGCGGATTCTATACAGGTTATCGTTTTTAGTCTACGTCCCGTCTCGCCTGGCTGCAGCCTGAGTTGACTTGGCATGGTTAAACGCCGTCATACGAATGCCCTCGTGAATAGCAGTACAGCACCATTTCGCAACTTCTAGACTCAATCCGAATGCACCCCGACCCAGATCGCATAGTGGAACATAAGCGAGAGCGAATCGAACATCCCCGAAATACCCGGGTCCGAACATGCCTCATTGAGGTCCTCCTGACTCCAAAGGGACATCTTTCAAGTGTTCCAATAGGTTCCAATCCGCCCCGGACAGGAGCTCCAAGTACCTCGCTGCTTTCAACCACTCGTGGGGCCAACGTCTCCCTTCGGCTGAATGGCGGCTTCTTCTCGGTGTTCAAGTACGGATTCTTTTCCCACGCTACTCATACATATAGGTCAGTGACTGGAATCTATCACTTTACTGCAAACTGCCTTCATTGTGCTCAGGCTCCAAATGTCTTCCCTACTCTCACTCAGGCTGCTGACTATTGCAATTGCGCTCGCATCGAAGGTTGTCTCCCAGACGCAGGTTCCACCGTTTGGGCAATGTGGCGGGCTCACCTATTCCGGGTCGACTGTTTGTGTTGCTGGGTACGCATGTTTCCGTTTCTGTGTTCCTAGTTCTCTCCTGAATTTCCTCAGGTCTTTCTGTCAATGGGAGAGTGACTGTGAGTGTTTTACCAACATAGTGCGCGCGCGGAGAAGACGTCCATAAACAATCAACTTCTTTCAGTCTTCAGTCAGTGTGTCCCAGGAACTGCTCCACCGCCGTTTGGCGGGCCTATTAACTTCTGGTTCCCCTTGTGAGCCCGCTGTAGTGTTTATCATTGGTACTGAACTTGGTTCATTGGCGATACAGTGGAGACAGCTACACGTCGACTAGTTTCAACACCACGAGCGTGCTTCCTAATATCCATAACCCACTCGGGAATCCACCCTTCCCCGAATTTACTGGAGGCGGCGGTTCGTCCATCCTCGTTGATGTCAGACTATGATGGAATATGCTCTCTAGGGGAGAACTACGTCGGATTCGACACCTCGACATTCAACTCCTCCGTCATCTTCACTTACAACTACGCCTTTGGCGGCGCGACAATCAACGCCAGCCTCGTGGCGCCTTTTGAGCCGACCGTTCTCTCGCTTATCGACCAGGTGAACGAGTTTTTAACGGGTGGTGTGGCGGGAAAGCCACCTGCGACGCCCTGGACGAGCGCAAACGCGCTGTTCTCCGTTTGGATTGGTACGCTCGGTCGCTCTTCTTGACATGTGAAGATGGCTCACAATTCGACTGGTTATGCAGGGGTCAACGATATGGCAGGCAGCTGGTTCCAACCCGGGGACCGCGGCGCGTAAGTTGGGTCCGTTTCCGTTAGCAATTAGCTGTCTT